AAACAACCAGTTTTCTGCTATAACTGTGTTGAAATGATACCTTAAATGCAGGTGCACAAGAAATGCTAGACTTGGTGATCAGAACTGATCCCCTAGAACCCAATTTGACTATGACCCATTTTGTGCGAACTCCTTTCTTTATCAGCTTCTGTCCTGCCAGAATTGGATTTCTGATTCCCGTTAATGATTCTACCTGGTGCATCATTATATCGGTACCATGGAATTAGAAGTATGAAAATAGACAGTGTAACTTATTAGCAAGGGAGACAGAAATAAATGCCCCAACAAACAACTAAAACGAGAAGAACACCAAAGTAATGTGCAGCCATAATCACATGCATATAATACTCTGCTTAGAAGTTAATAAACCCATTGTAAATATAACACTAAAATTCCTATGTAGTATGGTAATCATAACATAGGTAGAGTATAAGGGCATGCGAATAGTCCAAGGGCACTAACATGATGTCACACTCCGGGAACTCTCCTAAGTGGTCATCCATCCTGAAATTGCTTCATTCTTAACCAACATTTGAAAAAGCTTTTTTGAAATTCTCTTCGAAACTTTTTGAAGTGTGAACATTTCTAAACTCAAGAGAGGAACTTTTTATCCCTCGAAGCTTACGCCTCATCGCTTAAAGCATGACCAAAGAACACTTTTCTTTTGAAGCGCATGCTTTAGATAAGATACGAGGATATAAAGGAATTTTTTTTACTAACATTAAAATATCCATATGTATCTTCAATATGACTATGTGAGCGTAAATAAGATATACATGTTATACATGTATCTTAGTTTATTATGATTCATGTCTATACTTTACATAATTAATTCGTATTTACTAATCAGGACATGAATGTTTATTTGTAAATTATTATACCACTATACATTATATGGTAATAATTTTTACAAATTTTAAAATTAAAATACTTAAATTCATGAGGCTTATGCCTCACACTCAACAAAAGGTCTAGCGCTTTGCCTTGTGCTTCAATTTTTTTAAACATTGGTCTTAGCATGTTTAACTACGAAGGTTTTCCATGATTACTCTCTCAGAAACACCATCTATGATTAGTTCTTGAGTTCTTTCAACTCATATAGTCCATAAAAGACTACTTACTGGGTCGAAACATACTCTCTCAATCCAAGGTATAACAACCTTGTGATACTAAAACTTTATTACATAACATGATATCTTAGTGGTCCATGAATTCTAGAGCTGCCCACCTCATCCCAGTGTAGCATAAAACTCTCTTTCATATGGCATATAGTTCCTGATGTTCTGATTGGTGTTAGATTCTGACACAAAGGTATCATTTGTCATGTCCTGAGTGAAAACACTCCTGAAGTGGCCACTCAATAAAGTGATTCTTCATTTCTTCACAATTGCAAGATCAGAAAACATTTTTAAGTAATTGAATATATCACATAGTTTCCAATGAAACAAACCATTGAATCTACCGAAACTTAGTAAATCAATAAAATCTATTACAGCAGTTTATGTCAAAATTAACCAAAGTGATGGAATGATAAATCAAATGACCAAATATTATGGTTCAATATATTTTGAATTATATTACAAATATCAAAAGTATCATATTTCTTCAACTAATTACAAAATTTAGATGTTCCTTTTTCCAAATCAAAAAAGGGAAGGTCATAGTTGCATGTTTTTGAGTGACTTAATTGCTAATATTGTTTTAACTTAATCAAACACGTCCAACGTTAAAAGTTCCTAAGCCAAGATGCAGATAGTCTCAGTGAAACAAGACAAAAATAAAAGCTATATTGGGAATCAAATGTTCACTGAACCCCTATTGCATGTTAGGGAAATAATTAGCTGCCAAATGCCTCAAGGGTCAGAGTGCTCTGAGAAGCCAGAACAAACGAAAGTGTGCATGAGATGCCCAAAAAACAGATAATAGCTGGACAAATATTTTTAAAATGATAATACTTATTTGGAATCTTGATATATTTAATTATTCTAATAAGGTCTTCCACAAATAGATACAAATAATTTCAGAAACAAAACACCTTTTCAAGCTGATCCTTCCATGAATAATGTAAGGAATATGAACTTTAATAAATACATATAGATTTGTACAAGAGATTCATATATAATGTGCTGATATAAAACGAAAGAGATAATTTAACTTTACCTCAATGTTACAGGTGAATGGTTCTTCAAGAAAAATAGAGAAACAATCAATTCATCTAGCTCGTAAGATATAACACTAAACTGATATATTGTTCACAATGTTTCAATCAAACAAAACATCAAATTCCAAAAGTTACAATTTTAGAATATCTTATCAACAATTCATATATAGGGCAAATGAGTTATATTCTGGATTGTGTAAATCACTCAGGCAAAAAATATAAAGGTAAACTTGGGCAATGTCAAAATGAACCTTCTTTCTAATGTTTTCATTCAGCCGTGTTTAATACAATTAGGTTAACATCATTACTGAAATAAAGTTAATGTCCTTTAATTTCTACCAGTTCAGGACGCTAGAGGCAGCTCACATATCTTCACAAACTATAAACACATGACTGGAAGTTTGGAACAATACTAGGATGGCTATTTTCATAAATAATTAAATATTGGTATGATAAAGCCTGCGTTTTTACAAAAGAAAACACGATGTATGAAAAGAGTAAAAAGACACCTCTAGATGATATGGAAAATGTTCAATAGTGGCTAGTTAAAGAGTGAACCTCATCCAAAGTCAAGAGGAGGACATCACTGAGCCTCAGAAACTGTTCCAGCGATTTTTTCTCTTCAGGTGTCCCATTAACAAGAGTTCTTCCACGTGGACCAGGATCGAAAAACACTGCTGTTCCAGCATCGATAGCACAATGAAGTGCTGAGGTGATCAACTCAGGGAAAAGTTCATCAAATGCATAACCATTGCAAAAAAGGATCTTTGACTGCTGAATTGCTGCTTTAACTGTTCCTGATAATCTAGTCATCCAACAGAATGCAGGCTCATTGCTGAAATCGGCACGGCTGACAGAGGAAATAAGCACATTTAAGAAAGTACTAACCAGTGTATGTAGGTAATTGTATGCAATTCACTGGATGAGAAAGGTTGCAAAATCTTTAAAAGAAAAGGAAAGAAACAAAAAGATGAATGCGTGCAAACTAATCTTTACCTGCAAAATCCATGCTTTTGAAATGGGTCAACTAAAACCCAACAGAGAAGTGTTTCATATGATATATTATTAGCAACTACAGGATCTTTGTTCTCATTCATTCCAACCATACTAATGCCTTCATTTTGAAGAACATCAAGTAGAAAACTTCCATAGATTTCATTTCCTACATGACCAACAGCGAAGACATGAAGCCCCAGCCTAGCTGCAGCAATGGCCAAGTTGCAGTTACCACCAGCTTCCCAAAATTTCTACATTAATTATAAACGAGAAATAAGTACATAAACATTATCCTAATACAAAAATAGAAATGTGAAGGTCTTCCTCATTCACAAAGATGAATGAATAGATTAATGAAACCTGGCGTTGCAGTCAAAGCAGTAGTTAACTTTTCCTTTTTCCTTGATAAAGCAATTTGCTACCAAATCATTCAAAGGATAATTGCACCGGAAACATTTGCCAATGTATGGCAAGTAAAAAATGAAGCAATCAGAACAAAACTCAAAACTAGCGTCAATAATCCACAACTAACTTCAAGTTCCTCATGGAAAATAGAGATTCGTAAAATCCAGAAGTCCGAGATACACAATTAAGATCTCCAACTTTTGTGGTTCTTGTCAGAATGCAACAATTCAAAAAAGACAAAATTTGTGGGGATGTAACTTCTTCTAGCAAAATTGTACATGAAGCCACCTGATATCCCATCTGTAGGATCTAACTGCCGACTGCCTAGGCCTACTTAGAGCACGTTGTCGCTTAACCAAAGCGGATTGAAGGAGACAATACTTAAGAGACCGCAAGCAAGCAGATGCACCCTACAAATACCATTGTGGAACATGGATGACTAATCCAACCAATCATGTTCACAGTCATTAGAGGAGAGTATGCAACTTGCAGATAATCAGCAACCAAACCCAGCCCATTTCTTTTTGATGACCCGCTTTAGATTCAGATTCTAGATACTGATAAACTTTCATCATTTATTAAATCTGTGGATTGCCAATCAGTAGGGATGCCATCCTTGATGTTGAGTGGGTAAAACCCACACCTGGGCGAGACAGAAAGACCTGAACGGTTCACTTTCTGATTCTCCATGTTATTGTCTTACGTCTTTCACCTTTCTCTTGTTTTATGTGATTCTTGATTTAGGGAATGACCCTTTTAACTTTGAAATGCCTCTTGTAGCTTAGTTTCCATAAACTGGTTATAAAATCTTTGATTTCTTCTTTTAGTTTAGTTTTCTTCAATTTTAATCAGGAGTTTCAAGTCTATTTTGAGGGAAATTTCATTTTCCAAGGGCTTTGAAAGCCGAATGTGATCATCAAAAGCGCATTATCTGGTAGAGCTTTCATGTTCTTCCAAGGTCCTTACCTCTCAAGGTCAAGATGTTGTCGGCATTACTGTCAAGGATGTGGGCTAATTCCACCGTGTCCGGAGTAGGAATGACAACAACAATAATGTTTTCATCCATCACATCAATTACCTAACTCTTTTGGTAGGTCTCCACTACTTTTCATCTTACCATTCTACTAGATGTTTTTATCTTAACGAAATCCACTTCCCTCTTAATCCTTATCCATGTACCATCAACAAGTATCCCCTCCACCACAATCAAGATTTTCCAATCTACGCTCCCTGTCCCACTAGTTTATTAGGAGCTAGAGCTGACAACCTACCCACTTAGGCTTCATTGCCTATTGATTAATAAAACAAACATCAAGTAGAACTAAAACTTCTTCATTAGTTACTTGATTTTCCTTTTCACCAGTTTATCATCAATTATTTACAAAAACCAGCATTGGAGTCACTTATTTTATCTAAAACTGACCAATATATAGTCAGTGCTGATAAGTATAGACTGATTTGAGAGAACTTGACAATATTATTCATCCTACTGGAGTGTTTAAATACAAGAGAAAGTAGAGAGGTTCCAATAACCTAAGCGATGTGGGACTAAAATAAAGCAAAATAAGATAGTCTAAGTACATTATTTAAGAACCCCCTCTCAAACTGTATTTAGGTTGCAAAAACAGTTTGCCGAGAAGGAGTGCGCATGATAATTTGCTTGCAAATATGGACAGTTTTGTTGTTGTCCTGTGAGAGCTTGGATAGAAGAAGCTTGGCCGGGAGAAGCTTGGTCGGAGGAAGCTGAGCCTAGAGTGCTTAGCCAAGGGTGTTGGCTGAGGATAAGCGTGGCTAAGAGTGCTGGCCATGGGAGAGCATGGCTTGGGGTGTTGGCTTGGGAAAGCATGGCCGTTGTGTTGGCCGGCAAAGAGAGCTTGGCCGGAATATTGGCTGAGGAAGGGAAAGCGTGGTCGGGGGTGTTGGCCGGAAGAGAGCGTGGCTGAGGGTGCTGGGGGGGGAAAGCTTGCTAGGGTGTGCTTAGGCTTTCCATCAAACACCTTATCTATAGTCAACAAACACCTTGAGCGCATGCATCTGTTAAACGCCTTGCCTACATCCGTCTACGGTGTAGGTGGTGCATGATTGCGATATGGAGTCTTTGCAACCAATGCGGGAGGTGCAACAAATCGCAGGTTGGAGGTGGAGCGTTGAGCCGAGATAGATGCAAGATTTGCCATGCAGAGATGGTTGGCAATAATCTCACTCGTAAGGTGGGCGACTAATGCCGGTAGAGCTTAACGGTGCAAGGATTGCATTGTTTATGAGTTGCGGGATGAGAGTCTCCTGCTAGTTGCAGGGCGGGGCAAAGCAAGGTGTTGTGGGTACTTGTTGCTGGTTGAAGTTGAGTGTCGAATGTGGAGGGGTAGTTAACGGCAACGAGTGTAGGTAGTAGCGAATCTGATGTGGGTCCTGATCGAGGTGTGCCACAATGATCTCGAGGTGGTGCGGGGTGTTGATCGGAGAGGCCGCTGGTCATTGTCGAGCGGAGCTAGACGTAGGGTAGCATCGTTGAAGTTTTGGAGCGAAGAGAAGGCTTTGATTGGTGGGTCTGAATCGAATGGTGGCGACAACTCTATAGTAAAGTTAGGGTTTGGTTTTGCGATGGGTGGCTGCGAGCGGAGAGTACGAGTAATGATACCATGATAACTTTAGAAGAATGCTTGATGGTTGTGGGGTTTGACGCTGAAGCTTTTTATAGATGGCAATGGATGTGGCGGAGGAGGGGCTAGTTGTTACGGTGGTGGGCTAGTGTCAGGTTGTTGGCAATAATGGGATGTGGCGACGAAGTATAATGATGGCAAGTTGAGGCCGTGGGCGGCAAGGTCATAAGGGCGTGCACCGCGAGACGTTTGAGTAGTGAATGATAGCATATAGGTCGCACCTAAGGTGTGCGAGGGTGAGTTGCAGTGTTGCTGGTGACTAGTTCGAATGAGCTTGATTGGTCAGAGCAGTGGCGGTGGTCGCAGTGGTGCTGGCTGAGGAGGTGAAGTTTGGCTGCAGCACGTGTTGATGGTGATGACTGAGGGGATTTGGTTGTTGGTTTAGGGGTGATGTCAGTGGGTGAGATTAGAGGTGTTGATAACAATCAGTGTTGATGGGGTTGTAGGCGGCGAAGGAAGAGAGAGAAGCGAGATGCTGTAGGTTTTGAAGGACTAGAGTCGTCGAGAGAGGGTTGACGTGGCTGAGGTTAGAGCTAGTGTCAAAGCCGCTATAGGGAAGGTACAAAGATGAAGTTTTTGGCATAACCTCCTCGGCGGTCCCGAGATTGAGGGAAAAAAGAGGCCTTTTAAGAGGAAAAAAATGGCAGTGGTACCATGATAAGTATAGAGTGATTTGAGAGAACTTGATAATATTATTTACTCTACTGAAGTGTTTAAATACAAGAGAAAGTAGAGAGCTTTTAATAACCTAAGCGATGTGGGACTAAAATAAAGCAAAGTAAGATAATCTAACTACATTACTTAACAAGTGCTTTGTTATGTGTCTACATAATAAATAACTTAATAAGCAGTGTTTTAAAAAATGCCCTGGCCGCCCACCTAGGCGGAGGCTGTACCCAAAGCGCTATAAATTGGCTAAGTGGCCACATCTATGCGTTGAGAGCACCTAAACATGCGCCCATCATTAAGCGGTCTGCTGAAGTAGGTTGTCTCAATTTTTAAAAGAGAACAGATTGGGGCCAAAATAGTTTTGGCCTAGAAAAGGGAAAACCCAACCCGTTATGTAATTTAAACGCAAACCCAGTTACTAAGCACACAAAGTCGAACCCAAACCACATAAAAAACACCACAAAAATCTTAATTCTCTCTTCTCCTCTTTCTTAAGATTGTTGTTGCCTCCTCTAGTCCTCCCATTTATTCCGATCGCTGCCCCCACCTCCGTTGCAGTCAACACAATAGCGTCCTCCTCCCCTCTCTCCTCTCCCTTCTCCCCTTCCACCACCGCAACTTATCCTTCATCTCAACCATCATCGCAGCCCTCTTGCAACCCCAATCACAGCCCTCGTCAAGCCCTAATCGCATCTCCTCCAAGACCTCTCCTAAAGCCTTTCTCAGTCTCAACCAGAGACATTTAAGGAGGTAATCTTCCATCATTATTCTTTTTAAATTCATATAGCATACCCTCACGTCACTTAGCATTCAATAATTAGTTAGTTAGTTAATTACCAAGCTTAATAGTTCGTTATGTACTGTAGTGTTTAATTTATTAAGTATTTAATTATTCATTATTTACTATTTTTTGGTTAGTTGATTATGAACTTCAGACTTAATTATTTACTGTTTTTTTTTGTTAGTTTATTATGAACTTCATATTAGCTTAAGTGTTTACTAATTGCTAACTAACATAGTTATAATTCACCGTCTATTTACTATTTGTTGACAAGAAATTAACTTTTCACTAATTGGTAGTTATAATTCACTATCCATTCACAGATTGTGTTTTGTGGATGAGAAATAAACTATTACTATTATTTGTTAATATGGTCACTATTTTGGGTTTTATGGATGCAAAGTTCTTGAAATAGTGTTGGTAAATTACTGTATAGGTTTACTGGTTAAAATTAACTAATTGTTGATATGTTCTTTGGAACTTTAGTGTGATCCGGTTAATAATTTCTTGTTTGTTATTGTGATTCAAAATGTCAAGTGTTCCTTCTAAGGAGCTTGCGAGTTCCACCACTCTCCCCACGCCTCCGATGAAAGATGTAAGGAACTCGGGGGAAAATTGGCTAGGAGTTCGGATTTTGTCCGGACCCAAATAATTTGAATTGTGTACAATACTGACTATGTGGATACAAGGTGAATGCGGGGATCAATCGATTTAAGAAGCATCTTGTAGGGGAAAAGGGGATGGCAGACTTTGCTTGAAGATTAGTGAAAAAGATAAACAGAGGGTGATAGATGTGCTTGATGCTAACTCGAGGAAGAAGCAAGCTAAGGAGAGACATACCGTAGACTTACAAGAAGAACTTCATATGACGAGGTCCAGAGTTGAAGGAGATGAAATTGTCTCTCCTTCCGCATGCAGTGCATCTTCGAATAGGCCTAGGGAGCCTACTATTGCGCCAATGGATGCTTATACAGCTAGCGATCAAGAGCTAACGAAGAGATTGAAGGGCAAGATGAAGCAACCCGGGATGAAAGAGACTCTTCAGAAGGAGAAAAGTGATTGGGTGCATGATCAATTAGTTACGTGGGCATATAAAAATGTCATCCCATTTCATGTTATCTCAACTGATTCCTTTGTGAAGACACGCATGACTATTGGAGAGTATAGATCAAGCTACATACCACTGAGCATGTACATGTTGAGGAAGCCCATATTACAAAGAGCTATTGAGAGGAGGAAGTTCTCTTTGAAGACGCATGAGGAGCGGGGCAAGACCGAATGCTCCATTATAACAAACGCTTGGTCGGACAAAAAGATGCACTCGGTCATGAATCTTTGTGTCCACTACAGATTGGGGACGACTTTCTATAAGTCGATTGAGACTGCTGAGGAGGCACATAAGAGGCAGTATAAATGTAATGGGGTTGATGTGACTATTGAGCAAATTGGAGCCGATAAAATCATTTAAGTACAAATATGGTAGCTAAGGAGCTTTTCTATAGGAGGCTGCAGATCTTTTGGACTAGTTGTGCAGCCTACACAGTTGATCTGATGCTTGAAGGCATTGGGAAGCTGAGCTTATTCAGATGAGCAATTGAGAAGGTGATGACTTTTACTACCTTTATCTACAGTCACCAAATGACTTGTTTATGATACATCGCCTTTGTTACAAGAGGGACATTGTGAAGCTTGGAGTCACTTGTTTTGCCACTACATTCTTGACACTCCGGGGTCTTCTTAAGAAGAAGGGAAAGTTGAGACTAATGTTTTCTGATGAGGCATGGACTAGATGCAAGCTTGCAAAGATCGTGAAGGGCCAAAAGTGGAGGCAATTACTACGAGTGATAAGTGGTGTACTGACGTGAGAAAAATATTAAAGGTTTATACTCCAATTTTTCGATTGTTCAGAGTGGTCGATAGTGACTACAAACCCTTAATAGGGTTCGTAGTGTGGATGCTTGAAGATATGAAGAAGGAGATCATTCAAGAAGGAAAAGGATTTCAAGCGAATAATTGATATTATAGAGGCAAAGTCCAAGGATCGGCTCTATTCTCCTTTGCATATGGCTTCTTACTATCTTAATCTTTACTACTTTTCTAGGGATGATGTGATGAAAAACTGCAAAAGGGCGAAAGATGGGTTTTTTGATATGGTGGAGTTGTCGTATTCCGATGTAGAGCAACAAGTTAAGATTCATACTATAGAGTTAGAGAAGTATAAAGAAAGAAATGGTTCATTTGCTAGGAGCGGTGAAGCCTAGGGAGAATGAGGACTTGAACCTAGGTAAAATGATTTTTGAAATTGCATTATTTATAACTAATAAGTTATCTATTGTATTTGACTATTTGTAGTTGTGACACAACTAATAATATATTATGTTTTGTAGCTAATTGGTGGTATTTGCATGGTGGTGATTGCCCCCTCATGCAAAACTTGGCCATGAAGTTTCTCAACTTGACAAGTAGCTCTTCCGGTTGCGAGAGGAACTGGAGCATGTTTAAGGGGGTAAACTAGCTTCTAAACTTATTAATAATGTGAATTTATACCTCATTAAGCTTTCTAATTTGTTCCTTTCTTCTTTAAAGATCCATACAAATAAGAGGAATAGATTGGAATCAAAGAGATTAAAGGACCTCGTCTATGTGAAATTCAACTCAAAGCTCAAGCGGAAGAAGAGGAGAGGAAAAAACAAGAACCTACTCCAATCCAATGATCGTAGCAAGGCACGAGCATGGATATTGGAAGGAGCTGTGTCCAATGATGAGGAAGAGGTTCATCCGGGTTCAGGTCTTACTTGGAGGATAGTGGAGAATATATCTGGAGAGGTCGAGGCCGAGGCTGCAGAGAACAAGAGGAATGCTAGGCTAGCAGGGCCATAAGGTGGTTCTACCTAGGGGATTGTTGATGACGAAGACCCTATTCTCTCTGATGATGACGTGAAGGATGAGGAGGATTGCATGCAGATAGACTCCAAGGAGGATAGTGATGATGGAGTAGAAGCTGAACTTCATGATGATGATGATTGATGATTAGATTAGATGCATATTACTATATGAGAGTCTAGACTATTAGTATTCGATTGTTTGTTTGTTGATATTTTTAGATGTTAAATTCTAGATTTAGGATACTATGTGTTAGGATTTAGTATGTATGCATCTTTGATCGACTGTTATCTTTTGGATAGTAAATGTGTTGGTTTTTAGTATTTATGGATCTTTAATTGAGTGTTTATGTATCTTTGATTGAGTATCTATATAGTTATCATGAAGTATCACAATTAAAAAAGCAAAAAAAAAAAATGTTTAAACCCTTCCTAGGCGCCCGCTGGGTCCGGCACCCAGAGGCACCTAGCGTTTAATGTAACATTGTTAATATATTTTTCTCATCTTCTCTTGTATTCTTTCCGCATTAAAATTCTTTACAAATCAAAGTAGCATATATATATTTAGCTAACAAATTTCCTTAATTGACACCATAGACAATTACATAACTCTATTAATATATCTACAGAACCCAAATGTTATAAGCAGAAGAACATAGGATACACAACAAAATGACCAACTAAAACAATTATTTCCATCAAGCTCACACTGCTTCTTCCCAGATGTAAAATTCAGTAGTAGACTAGCAGTAATGCCTGGCATAGTATAAAAGACGAACTCTTTGAATCATCACCACCATAGGAAAACTTCCCCTAAAACTTACATTTCCCCCAATATAACCAAAACCAATCAAACTCACACGCACAAATGTATTTAAAAAAAAGAAAAAAAAAGAATACTTTGAAGAATCACCAACCTTATCGGGAGGCGAAGCGGCGAGCTGCTCCATATAAGCTTTCCTCTCCTCCTTCCTCGCCGGCGGCAACCTCGGGACGCTCAAAACGATATCCACACAAAGATTCCCAAGCGTCGCCATGTCCACGTCCTTCTTAAAAACCCTAACGGGTCCAATTCGGGTCCCAACCCGATTCTTAACGGTCAACAATGGCGTTGGACCCGAACCCAACAGCCGGAGAGCCATGGGGATTTGGAAAGAAATGGAGGGAGGGAAAGCTGGGGTTTTGTCGCTTGTTTTGGTAAGGGATTAAACAACCGGGGGATTTTGAAAAGAAAAAAAAAATTGGAGCTTGACTGTGCTGGGATTAGATTTTAGGGTTTGGTCTTTTTTTATTGGATTTTTGTCTATAAACCCTCCAAAATTATTCTATTTGTAACTGCTCCTCCTTTCTTTCGCATCGAATTTTTTTATACGATAAAAACTAACTTTGGAGAATGCATTAGTAAGGTAGCAAATATATAGGTGTTAGGGGTATATAGGGCAAAATGACATTTTATTTTATTTTATTTTTATATTTGCGTCGTTTTATAATACTTTATTCGGCGTTTACGTATAGAATAGAACCAGAGTACAACTTGTGCAAAGCACGGCCTCCATTTTTTATTTTCACTATAGTAATTTTGTATTTAAATACAGTTTTATAAGTTCTACAGTAACATGTTTTATGCTACAATACCACGTCTGAACTATAGTAATAATGTTAATGTAATGTTTCTAAACACTACAGTTCATGTTTGTGATACAGTAATAATGCTATAGTATTTTATTGTGGCATGAATGGTGAATCTTTGATCCTCCTGGTCGTGCTACAGTATCAATGCTAAAGTAATTTGCTGTATTATTTACTGTAGCATAAATAGTGAATCTGGGATCCTCCCATTATTATAGAGGAATGGATTATAGAGGAATAGATGTATTCTTCGCTTTACTTTTCTTTTTATCATGATGGGTCTCTCACATGTGGAAGTCTTATTGGGTTGGTTTGCTTGGTCATAGAAATTGATGATCTTAACCTCATCAAAATTCCTTCTTCCTTTTTTTTCTTTTTCCTTAGGAAGCTTTTTTAATCTGAAAAAAAAAAGGTTTACACATGAACAGTGGCATAACTAGAAATTAGAATTTGGATGGGCACCCTTAATTCTTCCTCTGTCTAAAAAAGAACTCCCACAACAACTATACATCAATATTGGTTTTTAAATAATCCCCTTAAACTTTGAAAATATCACTTAACCCTATGAAGTTTGGAGTTTTTTAGAAAACCTCTCAAATATTTTCAAAATTTTTAACTACCCTAATGTTACTAGGGGGTGTTATTCGTTGGGGATTGTTCGGCAGGACTTGGATTGTTGTCCAGGAATCCAATATTCTAGGAGTTAGGTTAGGACTTAGATAATTTAGTTAGAATCTGGAACTTTTTGGAAGGATTTTGAATGAATTTTTGGACAAAGTGTTAAATAGCCATTAACATGTATAATTGTTCTTTTATCAAAAAAAATATAATTGTTATCCCATTAATATTTTGCTATAACTATTAATAATTTTGTTGTAATTTTCTATAATTACAATTACAATTTAAGATCAAAATTTTATTATTAATTTGTATATTTAAATATGTAAACATTTAAATATAATAGAATTTTTTTCAAACATTAAATATAAATATAAAACTATTTAATATATAATATATTTATTATTTAATAAATGGAGTATAATTTCATACTTAGTAGTACCTATTTGCTATATTTCTTATCTAATATGCAAATAAATATTTAATATATAACTTGAGATTAATATTATTTCATATTTAATATTTAATAAATTATTTCATATATGATAAATAATATTTAATATCAAATATATTATATTATTCATAAATGTATAATATTAAATATTAATGTTGCAAAAGGTTAGATGATATAAAATATAACAATATAAAATATATTTAAATAATCTGATTAAAAATATGAAATATGTTAAATAACCACAAAAATTAGGCCAATATTTATATTTTCTTGGTTAAATTTAATCATTACTTACATTTTAATATTTACATATCTACTATATTTATTATTTAAATAAAAATAAAAAGTATACATATTTAATATTAATATTAAATAATTTTATATATTTAATATATAATAAATAATAAGTTTAGTTAATATTTGAACTGAATATATTGTATAAATATATTAAAATATTAATATAGAAATTATTAAATAAATATTAAGTATTAAATATATTTTTATGTATGAAATGTATTTAAATATTTAATTAAAATAGTTAAAACTGAATGTATTTAATATTTTATTAAATAAGTATGTAATATTAAATATTAACATTTAATACTAACTATAGATGTTTTGTAAATATTAGTTAGCGTATTTCTTTTTGTCAATATGAGCTCATCCATGGAAGGGGAAAAGAAAATCCAAGGAGGAAGATAGAACCACTTATTTTTACTTGAACTTTTTTTCGGAATTTTCCCACTATCATGTATAGAGTAGGATTCGGATTTAGATTTGAAAGTCCTAGTCTTAATCATAATCCTAAATAACCAACAACATTATAAAGTTAAAATCCCTAGTCTTAAACTAGCAATGCCTTAAAGTTAAAATCCAAACATTGGTCATAAACTAATAACACCTTAAGTTAAATGCTAAAAAAGTCCTAGTGCCACTCAATAATCTTCAACCAATAAACCCACCTAGATGAAATGGTAAAGAGATCATCAAATTCCCTTTGCAAATTAACATTTTAATTATTAGATTAAATTAAAGTAATCCTCAATTAAATGTTTGACCCTAAACCTAATCTAATTATTAAATTTAACACTCCGTAGAGTTATTAAGAAGGATGTGAAAGGAATTTTTTTCCCTTTTTACCAAACAAATGGGTTTTTGTCATTTGTATACACTAGTTAGATTGCACGTGGTAAATTTTTTAATATTATTTTAAATTATAATTTTATTTAGGGAAAGATTTCGTATAAAGTTATTAAATGTAAACAATATAGCCAACATATGAGCATCCCAATGAACTTTTTTGAAGTTAATTTGTATGTTAAAAATATAATAATAGAACCTTACCATTAATCCTATCATTAAATAAACCTATTCATGATTATTATATTGAAATTTGATGATTATATCAAAGACAATGTAAATTATTTGACTTAAAACAAACACAAATGAATTTTCTATTATTCATCTAAAAGTAAAAAGATAGTAAAGAAACAACCTTGAAAATTTGTGGCCTTTTAGTTAAAAGATCCAAAGTTAAATATATTGAAAATTTGTGGCCTTTCAATATATTGAAATTTGTAATTTTTCTAGCCCTTCAGTTTTCTATGGCTTATGACATCGAAGTTTAATATATGTTGACAATATCATATTGAATATTTATTTGAACATGGAGTTTTAAGCTTATTAACCCAAATTGTTGTATTATTGAACATCCGAATTGAATTGTTCTATTGGTTGCAATCAACATAATTCATGAATATTTTGGTTGATTATCCTATGCATTTAGCGGCTGACATCAAATTCTATAGTGTGTGATCTCAAGTCTATTAAAATTTGAAATCCAAACTGTTCATCATGATGTGCAGGTCCAAAAAATATGTTTTATGAAATCTGTAGACTTGGACATTACGATTTTAGGATTTAAACATTACATAGTACAATTATTATTTTATTTTTAAGGTTTATTAGCTCTATCCTTAAAAATATGTCAGAGGATAGACAGACTATCATTTTTGTTAACACTAAAAGACATTTAATTTTTCAATTAGATAAATATTTATGAATTAATGGATCATTTTGTGTTTAATCTTTTGGAAAAGGTTATGCTTGATCAAATGGCACCACTGTTTAATGAAAGCTGGCGGGCAAAGTTCGAGAGAGTTAAGCAAAATGGCTTCTCGGATCTAAGGGGTCTTTGGGTCCTCCATGAGATTGTAATCCCTATCATCTCGAAGCTTCTGACTACACTTTTTGTTCCCTATGTATTTGCTAGAGGTATATTCTTGTGCTTGGCTATCCATTGATCATTAACTCTGTAGTCTATCGGATTACTTGGCTCGGTTGTCTTCTCTTTAGCGTGATGTTCTTCTGTGCCAAGAGGTTCTGTGTTTGGTTCATTAATCTCCACAAACTCCATTAGAGACGATCGATATCTTATTGGTAGGAGATTGCATAATTTCGTCGAAGACTCGGTCGATAAGCGTAATTAACAACCTGCAATTATTCCTAAATACAAGGCGACTTTAACCCTCCAGCTGGATTGATGCATCTTGAGCAAGAAGCAAATGATGGGCTGAGGCTCAGGCAGAGAAATAACCCACATCTTCAGCATTTGTTCTAGCTGCAGGGACTGAAAAGGCTAAAACATTTTTCCACAATGTCTGTATAGTAATGATCATCTGTTTGAAAATTGATTCACTGAATTTGTGAATACACCCTGGTTCAAGTTTGTAGCCAATATGTGCTAACTTCTGCTGTGTCAACGAGCAGTGCTGAATGGAAATATAGCCAAGAAATTGATTCTATTCAATGTGTACATGAAAACATGGTTTGATGACATACAATGTTAAAGTGTACAGATGCTAATGAAGTGCATTTTTGTTGGCATGCTTTATTTTAACTGAAATGTGTGTAGCTGTTGAATTGCGTTTGGTCTGCAAGCTATTTTCTTGTTTGAGACAATTTGCAAGGTTATCGGGTAAAAGATACCTAATTTTATCGTGTGAAGAGATAATTAGCAATGTTAGCATGAAAGTAAGGATGTCTTTTGTTAATAGTTTTTTATTTTTTTCGTCTTGAGAATTGATTGTTTTATTATATCCTCTTCTTAAATAAGTTTTTTATTTTTTTCGTCTTGAGAATTGATTGTTTTATTATATCCTCTTCTTAAATACACATGCATAGGCATTGAATATCTTCTAATACAATAGATGAATTTACATCTTTGTTTGCGGCTATGAGCCTTAGCATGCAAAGAACGAATATTTTTGAAGGCATGTCTGATACCATGACTTGGAGTCTGTAAACAACAAATACACATTGATTTTGCTATGAGTTGTGGTGCCTACCGCTATACAGTATTTGCATGGCGTTCATACGCAAAACGCAAGCCCAATAAAGAGTTAGTTGACTGGCATCATTCATGATTCAAGCTCTGCTGAC